GTTTCAGGCGAAACCGCGCCGAAACCAGGCGACCCCAAGCAAATTGCGAGGACCTTTTCAGGCAAAACCATGCCCACAACCAGGTGACACCAAAGCGAAACCAAGCAAATTGCGAGGACATCTCAAGCGAAACCGCGCCGAAACCAAGCAAATTGGGAGGACGTCGCAAGTGAAACTAAGCCCAAACCAAGCGAAACCAAGGCGAAACCAGGCAAATTGCGAGGACATCTCAGGCGAAACCGGGCCCAAACCAGGCCAAACCAGGGAAATTGTGAGCACGTCTCGGGCAAAACCAAGCCCAAACCAGGCCAAACCAGGGACCAAACACAAGCACATCCAGAGGATGTCTCAGGCGGCTTGCGCCGCTCAATCAAGCCAAAACAAGCCAAACCAAGGCCCAAACCAGGCAGTTGTTCAGGACGTTCGAAGCAGAATCGCCCAAACCAGGCTCCACCCAGTATCCTTTATGACAATCGAATTACAAAAATGAATCACCCCAGGCATTCCCCACGGCGCGAGCCCGGTTAGATTTTTACGGGGGGGGCGTTCGGATCACATGTGCGCTGAAGCGGACGGGGTTGGGCGCGGAAGGATTCGTTTGTCTTTCGGTTTTTCTTGGGGCCGTGATGTGGCGTAAGAAAAATTGTCTCCGAGTTTCTAATACGAGTACTAGTAGTGTTCGTAGTAGTAGTAGTAGTAGTAGTAGTAGTAGTAGTAGTAGTAGTAGTAGTAGTAATAGTAGTAGTAGTAGTAGTGGTAGTAGTAGTAGTAGTAGTAATAGTAGTAGTAGTAGTAGTAGGAGTGGTAGTAGCAGTAGTAGTAGTAGTAGTAGTAGTAGTAGTAGTAGTGGTGGTGGTGGTGGTGGTGGTGGTAGTAGTAGTAGTAAAAGTAGTAGTAATAAAAATAGTAGTAGTAGTAGTAGTAGGAGGCGAAGTAGTAGTAGTAGCGGTATTAGTAGTAGTGGTGGTGGTAGTAGTAGTAGTAGTAGCAGTAGACGAACTAGTAGTAGTAGTAGTAATAATAATAGTAGCAGTAGCAGCAGTAGTAGTAGTGGCACTAGTAATAGTAGTAGTTGTTGTAGTTGTGGTAGTAGTAGTTGTTGTTGCTGTTGCAGTAGCAGCACTATGTAGTAGTAGAAGTAATAGAAGTCCAAGTAGTCCTAGCAGTAGTATAGGTAGTAGTAGTAGTAGTACTAATACTACTACTACTACTACTACTACTACTACTACTACTACTACTACTACTACTAGTTCTAATTGTTGCAATTGCACTAATAATCAGACTAATTGCAATAGTAGTTCTAGTAGTGCAGTAATAGCGAAAGCACTCGAAGTAGCAGTAGCAGTAGCAGTCTCAGTAGTAGTTCGAAGTAGTAGTAGTAGGAGTCATAAGAATATTAGTAGTCGTAGTCGTAGTAGTAGTGATACTAGTAGTGATACTAGTAGTAGTAGTAGTAGTAGTAGTAGTAGTAGTAGTAGTAGTAGTAGTAGTAGTAGTAGTAGTAGTAGTAGTAGTAGTAGTAGTAGTGATAGTAGTAGTAGTAGTAGTAGTAGCAGTAATAGTAGTAGTAATACTACTAATGCCTCTACTACTAGTAGTAGTAGTAGTCGTAGTAGTACTAGTAGTAGTAATAGTAGTAGTAGTAGTAATAGTAGTAGTAGTAGTAGGAGGAGGAGTAGTAGTAATAATAATAGTTTGTATTAACAGTAGTGGTTGTGGTAGTGGTAGTAGTGGCCGTAAGGTAATCATCCAAGCCAGCGCAGGAGGCGGCAACGAGGCGGTGACGGGCGCCCACCGTGCGAAAACGCGGACATGCCAGCTTGCGCACGAGGCGGCGACGAAGCGGTGACGGGCGACAACTGTGCGACAGACAAGGGAACACCAACCAGCGCAAGAGGCGGCAACGAGCCAGAAACGCCAGCCAGCACACGCGGCGGCGGCGACGAAGCAGCGATGGCCGCCAGCCGTGCGAAATCCCAGAAAGGGCAGCCAGCACACACGAGGCGGCGGCGTAGCGGCGACGTGGCGCCAATCGTGCGAGACCCAGAAACGCCCCCCAGTTCCTTAACAAGCACTGCGCCTGGACATACGAAACAACCTCGGGCCCGTTTCGAATCAAAAATGCTCCGTCTCCAGCTGTTGCCTGCAACGACAATCAGCCAACGCAACCTTCGGACTCCTGCGCGCCCATGCGCCTTCACGTACCAAAATCGCTGCAGGCTTCCGCTCCAAAGGGGATTAAGAGTAAGATATTGCGGAGAATCTCCGAAGACACATTGGCCATGCGTCTGTCAGGTGCGCATGAAGGTTGAACCCAACACGCCGAACACTATGTCATGATTCAGACGTGGACAGAGCAGATAGATGTCCAACATGGTTAGACGAGATGGTTCGCAAGAGAGGACAGGGACTGCGTCAGCCAGGAGTAGTGGAGAAGACGGACCTAATTGGAGCAAGAAGACTCCCCGAAACATGCTCTGGGCAACTCGGATGTTGGAACCAGATGCCCATGCGCTTCCACACTATAAGCGGGCCCATCTCGGTCTCTGGGTCCCATCGAAAGTCTCTGAAGATCAGATGGCCCTGAACCAGGCGGAGCAGCGTGGCTATGTTCTGGCTCAGCAGAGCCCACAGTACGAGTGGCAGATCCAGGCACCACAGCCACTGCCAGGCGCACACAACTGCCACGGCCAGCAGCGCAGCGCCCCATACGACCCAGCCGATCACGTCGCGCTCCACGCCGGAGGCAAAGACGAAACCTGTAGGGCAGACACAGACCGCTCTCTCTCTCTCTCTCTCTCTGAATGTCCCAACTCGTCTTGGCGGGAGGAAGGGTGCTCCACACGCCAGCCAACAAACAAATATCCAGTGCGGCACCGGTTTCGACACCCACCCACCCCGTCCAGCCCCCAGATACAGGAGAGCGACAATCTGGGATGCGGCGGTCTCCCTGCCCAGAAGCCTGACATCGACATCGCGAAGCCGTAGATGATCGGAAGCGCTTTTCGCCGCATCGATTGCCGTGCCCGCACCACGCCGCCAGATCCGGAGCCCTCCCCGTCGCTGCCGCTGTCGCAGAGATCGGCCCCGCCAGTGCAGCACAGCAGGCCACAGCCGAATACGATGGCCGTGAGCCACAGCGGCGCGTAGATCAGGAAGGGCGAGCGGTACCCGCCGTCGCAGCCGGCGATCTGGCCCGCCAGCCCAGTCATCATGCTGTCGTGTGGTCGCGGACCGGCCCACTCTATGAGCGTGGAGCCGAACCACACGACGGCGCAGCCATACGTGTGCAGCGGATGTACGGCTGGCTGTCCTGCGGAAAGAGAGACGAGTACTGTACTACCGAGGCAGGGTGATGCCCCGATGCATGCGAATGCCGCGCCTCCACCTGCCCCCCGACGAGCCCCTGGACCCCCACAGTCTCGTCGCACCCTGGTCCAAGTGGCACGTCGAAGAAAACTTCGACAGCGGTAAGCGATGCAGACAGCGAGGTTGCAAAGCTCCACCCACAGCTGACAAACAGCTCCCACACACCCTAGCGCAGTTTGGGGGAGATCCCCTAGAGGTCCCCCCGGGGGGGCCCAAATTTCGGCGAAGCTTCGAAGACGCCTGCGAACTCCCACAAGCTCGCGAAGAATGTGTGCGGTGACCCCGCCTGCAACTCCCAAATGGGCGAATGGCCCCAGGCCCCCCGGGTCCTGGATAGTATCTCTCCGCAGCCCAGCAAGCAAGCACCAGGGTACATCGGACCATCGCCGCACCCTTGCCCTCGCTGTCGTCGGAGGCACCGACGAGCCAGGGCACGGAGGCCAGCACCTCGCGAGGCTTCCCGACGGAACAACGGACAGAGTCCCCCCTGGCTGATGCCACATCTGCTCTCCGCAGCTGCCCCGTCCCTCCGCCCAGACCCCATCCGCCCCAGAACCCCCAGAGCTCACCGACCTCTGCACCTCCCCCTGATGAGTCGCCGCACGCTTGCGCGGCATAAAACTCACAACAACAAAAAATAGGAGCACTTCCTGCCGGGGTGGAGGGTAACGGAGGAACGCCCACTGCCAGGGCCGCATCGACACGTACTGGCAACTCGAAAGCACTGCTTGATGTAGCTTGATCCAAAGCCCGCCACCGTGCAGTAGGCCCTAAATGGAGTGTGCTCAGGTCCTTTCGAGCTCAGAGCCCTTCGTCAGGGGCCCAGAGCCCTGAGTCACGGCGCCCGAGCTCCCAAAGAAGTGCCCAGCAGCCCCCCCCCCCCAGGACGGCCGCAAGAGGGAGGGGGGAACGCGCACTGAGAAGTCTAGCGCTGACCCTCAAGATATAGCATCAGGTCGGGCGTGTCCCCCTACAGGCGGATTTTGGACGAAAAGTAGAAAATTGTCAAACAGCTCAAAAAATGCTCCAAAAATGGTCCCCTGATTATTTTTGATGTTTGTTTGAACATCCCCCCTGTAGAGGGACAGGCCCGACTTGAATATAGCATCCAA